GCCTCAGAGCTAATATATATGGCGTTAGCCTCAGAGCTAATATATATGGCGTTAGCCTCAGAGCTTATATATATGGCGTTAGCCTCAGAGCTTATATATATGGTTTTAGCCTCAGAGCTACTATATATATGGTGTTAGCCTCAGAGCTGGGGACAGGATTCAGGAAGAGTTTGGTACAGATTTTCCGTCATTCAGGACATGGCGAGCTCACAGACTGGTTCCCTTTGGGCTGAGAGATGTGTTGGAGACTAAAAACGAGTGTTTGAAACCAAACTAGCGAGCCGGACAGCCACATTTTAAGAACAAACCACTTTATCGACCCAAGAGAGTAAATAACGACACTTCAGCTGCAGGTTCTAGATTACATCAGGCTGCAAAAAATGACTTTAAACTTAGAGTTTGGATTTGGCTTCCAAAAACCCCAATTTAGAGACAGAATAATAGTTTTGACAAAGAAACCTAACCTAAAGCTTAACCCTTAGAAACACAGCTTTAATTAAAACATAAAATGGCTCCTGTGGTTTCGGCTGAGTCGTGAAGAAGAGTCGTACCTTTTGGAGCCCGGGCGAACGATCACAGGCTGTGACATCTGAGCGCTAAAGGGCCGCTCGCATTTCCTGTGTTTGTGTTTCCCGGGTTCTGACGGGAGACAGAGAGAGGTGCTTCAGTTCGTGATGCATTCAGGGGTTCAGAAAACAACAGGAAATAAATATTAAAACAAACAGGACAAGATGTGTTTGAGCACAACTGGACTTTTATTCTGTTTTATTTGCTCAAAGACGAAAAGGAATTGTTTCAATCAAAGAAAAAATAATTATTTAAACTACTGGAGTGCAATTTAGAAATGAAAATAGGCCGATGTGAACCTGTTTTTAATGTTATTTATCAACGGTGCAGTTTTAGTCCTCTGTAGATTCAGATGCTTCCTGTCAGACGACAGCTTTAGCTTGAGTCAAAATTTGCTGCAGAATTACAAAAATTAAACTGAAGGTTTGACATTTAGGAGTCCCTCGTGAACGCCTTAACTTTCAGAAATGTTTGTGACTGTTTGTGACCCTCAGCACTGGCTCTCCTCAGGGATGTGTGTTGAGCCCCCTTCTGTTTACTCTGCTCACATATGATTGTGCAGCTACCCATCCAGGCTGTCACATTGTAAAGTTTGCAGATGATACAGCGGTGGTGGGATGCATCACAAACAATGATGAGTCCAGCTACAGGCAGGAGGTGGAACACCTGGAGAGCTGGTGCAGAGAGAATAACCTTCACATCAATGTGAAGAAGACAAAGGAGATGATTGTGGACTTCAGAAGGAACAAAAACACCTACACCCCCCTGAACATAAGAGGATCTGCGGTGGAAGTGGTCTCCAGCTACAAGTACTTGGGTGTACACATGAATGACAACCTCAGCTGGAGCAACAACACCACCAGCCTGATCAAGAAAGCTCATCAGAGACTCTACTTCCTCAGACGGCTGAGGCGAGCTGGTCTGGGAAGCTCAGTCCTCACCTCCTTCTACAGGTGTGCAGTGGAGAGCATCCTGTGCTCCAGCATCAACGTGTGGCATGGAGGCTGCACAGCTGCAGAAAGAAAAGCTTTGCAGAGAGTGGTGAAGGCTGCACAGAAATCTGTTGGAATCAGTCTCCCCACCATCACAGACATCTACACCTCCAGATGCAGGAAGAGGGCCACCTGCATCATGAAGGACCCCACTCACCCAGCACACACACTTTTTGCCCCACTCCCCTCAGGAAGGAGGTTAAGGAGCATTAAGTGTAGAACCACTAGAATGAGGAACAGCTTCTACCCTGAGGCTGTTAGACTCATGAATCTCTAACTAGAATGATCACTGTGAAAAACCATATCATGTTGCTGCTGATCTGTTTCATGTTGCTGCTGATCTGTTTCAATGTTGATGTGTTCATGCGTGCACATCTGCTCACAGACTCATGTTCATGTTTGTGGTGATGTTCAATGTTTTATGTTATGAGTGCTTAGTGTATATTTAGTTGATGTTTTTCTTAGTTCATATCTTAGATGTTATTACTGTTTTTCTTATACATTTTATTGTTGGATGTAACTGGGACCCCGTGTACATAATTTCGCTCCACCACATGTACCACATGAGGTGCGAATGACAATAAAGAAACTCTGACTAAACTCTTCCCATTTCTACAATTCTTGCACTCCTTATACAATTTATACATGAAAATGTTTGCATTTTTGTCCTCTTTCACCCAGCGTATCTTTCGCTGCAGTAGGACTGAGGGTTTTCTCTCAGCCCCACACAGAGTGCAGAGAGAACGCCTCAACTATCGCTGACTTCCACTCTCCTAACAGGAAGTAAAGGACCTTAACTTGTCAAATCTCATCCATAAAACTGATAGCTTGTCTGCTTTGCACAATGTTTGTTTGAGGATCGATTTCTGGTCTTCCTGTCTCATTAAGAGTGCTGTCAGGAAGTGACAGAGGCAGGTGTGTGGTTACCATGGTGACCCCCTAAAGAGTTATTTTTGATTTTGGTTTGAGTTCAGATTATTACAAAATAAAAGTCCTACTTTAATGTTGGGCTTTTAAAACGGAAGTTAATTGATGTTCATGTATTATTTATTCTTTTTTTTTTCTATTTTAGCATTAAAATGTTTCAACCAGAGACAGTGTGTGGCTGAACAACTATAGGTGTAACAACACCTGTGAGGCAGGTTAATCACTCAGAACAAGTTGACCCTGAATGTGAAGCTAAAGGCTAACAACAACCAACACTGAACGAGACGTTTCAACATATTTACGCCAAATATAAGAGCTTGAAAGCGGGTTAAGGAGCCGCACCGCTGTTAGTTTGACTCCCAACAACAAGGTGGCGGTTCAAACCAGAGCCACAAACAAAGGCCCCACGAAGCGGTTCGGGATAGGTTCTGATCCAGATGCTTTTGTCTTTTTAAGGATGAGTTAAAGGAAAACGTCTTAAACCAACCGCTGTATGTCTTAAATTAGCGGACACCAAGCTGAAGACCGGGGGAAACAGCTTAGCTTAGCAGCTAACTCCAGCCGTCTTACCTCGGCGGTGCGAATCCCCACAACCCCTCTTCGACCAGGCAGCTCTGGCTTCGTCAGACATGAAGTTGCGGGTTCGAGTCCGCGTTCAGGAAAGCGGGCGGCAGCGACGCACTGCCATGTTTGCACTGCGACCCATCCACTAGACGGGATAGAGCTCAGACACGGCGGTAAATTAATCGGGTAACGAGCCACAGCGGTACACAGGATTTACAGACACCATCTTCTGCACCGGCGTCACTTCCTGTCTGTGACGGAAGTGAAGGGCGGAGAGTGAAAGACAAAGATTGTTTATGTACCAAGAAAATTCACCGAAGTATATCATTCTTAAAAAAATACTGTATGAAATGCGATTTTTTTTTGTTTGTTTATTTTTTGTTACTTTGGGGTTTTGACATTTCATTTAAGTTTAAAAGCAACAAAGCCGATAAAACTGCTATATGGGATACAAAGTTAAAAACAGAATAATTTGACTAGAAAAAAATCTGGACAACGTTAAAAAATAAACATCGATTTAAAATAATATATATACTTGCAATAAAACCATAGTGAAAAAAGTACTAGAAGAATATCAATTAAAAAAACAAGAGAATCCGAACCAGCAAACTTGTGAAAACCTATATTTATAAGTAAAAAAAAAAAAGATCCTCAGCAAATAATTATGAGATACTACGTAAACAAAATGATGTCTTACCATCACTATCATTATTATCATTATTACCATTATTTCTCAGCACCTCATGATTTTCCGATAACTGTAAGATGCAAGTCTTCGTTGTGAGATATGAGATGCTAATTAAGAACTACAAACACGTTTAACGGACTACAAATCGAAATTGAAAGACGTCATTGTCTAACGACGGGCCTGGTTGGCACATGAACAACGAAACTTTATTTATTTTTTGAGTAGTCAAAATCGATTACATACGTTCCATGTTCAGCGATAAGCAAACAATAACAAACCATAAATAACAGCGATTCTCAGGGATTAAATAGATTTATTTTCTTTTATACGATGCTAATTGCATCAGCCGAGGAGAAAGGACCCAGTCGCCTGTAAACGACTTAGCTTGTTTTTTTTTGTGTGTGACAGAAAACGAATACATATCAAACGTTTTTAGTGAAATGTGGAATTATTTGTATTTATCTTGTCAGAAATAAAACGTAATTAGTTAAAATGTTAATTATGTTTAATTAAAAAGGTTACGGTTCTGTCAGTTAATCAGGCTTTCTCCACAGCTGCCTCTTTCAGTCCCTTTTCATTCAAGATGGCGGGTGATGAGTCTGGTACAACGTTCGGACAGCCTCATCTGGCCAAACAAGACCTCAATTCTCTGGTAAGTGTCCGTTTAACAATTTATATAGGTTTATTGTTTTATGTTTCAAGCTGTCAGGTTCTTGTTTCGTTAAAATGGCGTCCGGAAATGGTGGAAACCATTCAGACGATGTGCCTCCCGGAGCTTCGCCGCCACCACCCGGCACATGACGGCAGGCCCAGCGGGGAGCAGAGTTACCGACACCCGCGACAACATCAGCCGAAATTTCACATCGTTTTAATTCAAATGTTTCACTCTGCCTTCATTTTAGTTTTCGGTGCGTGCTCGGTGTGTTGGTGGCTGTTAGGCTCAGACATTAGCACAAGTTTCCGTTTAACTGTCAAAAAGATCTCGATATTTTGGAATTATACATTTTAATATATGACATCCTTCTTGTTTAACAATCGAATAAATAGACTGTGTACGACCTCTTATATTGTTACAACATTATTTAAACTATTATTCATGCCATATGTGCAATAGACGTGAACCATCTCTAATTTGTAATATTTAGCTTCCAATGAGTCAGATTTTCATTTAACCCAAAGCTAAACGAACAAATATCAATTAAAGAAAAGCAATATATTCGGTTATTAAAGTGAGACTTAATGACTTCCTGTCACTGTCAGTACTGTCTGTGTAATCTGAGTAAAGAGGTCCAGATCATTCTCTGGTTCTGAAGAAACACGATCCTGAACTCTTTCAGCAACATGTTTTCATGATACGCTAAATTTACACAACATGATGTAAATTACACTGAGAGTGTTTTGTTGTTAAAGAGTCGTTTTGTTCTCTTCGTGTTCAAGCTTAAACACAAACTCTCGTTATTAATTTTTAGTTGTTTTGAGTCTAACGTGTTTCTTTTTTTTTTCTCGGCAGGACGTGTCCACCTTGACGCCGCTCTCTCCAGAGATCATCAGCAGACAGGCCACCATCAACATCGGTACAGAAATCAGACGCTTTGTTTAGTTTTTGTTCTTCTCTGCGGTGTTTTTTTTAAAAATTTATTTTAATCGGTCCTTCCTCTCAGGAACCATCGGTCATGTGGCTCACGGAAAGTCCACGGTAGTGAAAGCCATTTCTGGTGTTCACACCGTCAGGTTCAAGAACGAGCTGGAGAGGAACATCACCATCAAGCTGGGATATGCTAACGCTAAGGTACACACTGAAGGAACTGTTAGCTTTATTTAACCTGAGAGCATCACAGATGAGACTCATGACAGGCTGCTGTCTGGATCTGAGAACTCTGTCCTAACCTCCACGTCTGCTCCCACTTGCTGCAGATCTACAAGCTGAATGACCCGAGCTGTCCCAGACCTGAGTGTTACCGGTCGTGTGGCAGCAGCACTCCCGACGAGTTCCTCACAGACCTCCCCGGAACCAAAGGAAACTTCAAACTGGTCCGGTAAGAAAGTCCCATTTGTTTCAGCTGCTGAAGCTGTTTTGTCTTAATCATTTCAAATCAAACGTTTGTGTTTTATTGTTAAAACTAGGGGTGTGAATCTCTCTGTGTCTGGCGATTCGATTCCGATTTTTGGTGTCACGATTCGAATCAAAATTGATTTATCGATTCAGAAACGATTTTTCTATTGAAATGTCATAAATTTTATTTCAGTTATGTAACTGACAAGCTTAAAAGATTAAACAACAATGTAAACAAATATAACATTTATTTAAAACAATTTTAGGTTCTTTATTACTGTATCAAATCTTTTTGCGTCATTTTATATTTATACCAAAAACGGGAACAAATACAGGAGTGCATAAAATTCTGTAGCTTAAATTACCAGTATTAGGTTAGATTAGCTGCCTGGAGTTTTCTCCAAAAAATAAAAATCTATGAACAAATAATTCATGCATCATTTTTACCCACTTCTTCCTTTTCGAGTCACGGGGGGTCACTGGTGCCCATATCCAGCCATCGCTGTGTGAGAGATGGGGGACACCGGGACAAGTCTCCAGTCCATCACAGACAAATAATTCAAAATATATAAATACAAAAGTAAACAGACTTCAGCCTACCATAGTATATTAACCTTTAACTCAAAATAAAATACAGACTTCACAGTTTTTTAAACCATATTGCTCTAACATTTGTTGTATTTTCAAAAGTTAACCAATATGAAATATACAGACTTGAGTCTTAACCATATTAATTCATATTTAGTAAATCTTTAACAAATTTTCAAAACCTGTGAAAACCTGCACAAAAACTCTTCTGAACTGTAATTTATAATCCATAAATTGTATCATTTAGAACTGGCTCCAGGTGACGTGTCTCATCTGTTCTCTTAAACCTGTGAAAAAGGTAAATTACATTAAGTTTGTTGTACAACTTGTCTAAGTTTTAGTATAATATGATAAATAACTGTTACCTTGGAGCTGCAGCTGCATCAGAGCTTCTCCCATTTGTTGTTTCGTGGTGAAGTGGTGCTGCTTTATTACAAAAAAAAAGCTACGTGAAGTAATAACGTACATTGGTCCAGCATATTAAAAATAAACCTAAACCCGTCACCTTCCACTGAGCTGTCTGCTTGTAAATCTTTGTGATACAGCAGGAGATGGAGAGAACTCTTCACAGCCTTTGGGAGAAGCCTGGAAGTTTGATGCAGAGTTCGTCGGTCGGCTGCTTCGCTTTCATCTTCTGCGCATTTTGTCGTATTTCCAAAATACTGTACCGCAATTTTATTGTACACTTGTTGCAAACAACCGTGCGCTTGTTAAGCTCCGTCTTCCCCGGAACATTGTAGGATCTGAAATGATTTTTAAAGACGAAGAAGCGAGTTGAATCGCGCTGTCTTCATACATTCATACATTTTGACAGCTCAGATGAATAAACATGTCAGATTACTGCAGATTATTTAAATCCTCTGTCTAAAGGAAGAAAATAAGAAAGAAAAAACATGAAAACATTAAAATGACAAAAGCATTAAGAGATTAAACCAGACGTTAAAATACTAAAACTGAACCGAAGTTTGTCACAAACTGTTGGGCTGATCGTGGATAAATATCCAGAATAATTCCTCTGCAGATGATGATGCTCATTTTACACTCTTCAGGAGGAATTTTAATCCCGTTTTGACAATCTAGACACGTATTTATGAAATTAAATAGAAGAGCCCAGATCTGTCTTCTCAGTAACGGCATGCTCTGTGTTGGTTTTGATTGGAGGAAAAGTAAAGTTTACAAAAATATTTTCTTTGAAGGAACTATCAGGAAGTTTTCTCCGTCGGAACTCTCCGCCTCGAGTTTTCTTTGATTTGAAACCCAAAGTTGGAGTCAGTCTGTATAATGCGAATCCTGTTTTTGTCCTCCTGGTAGACACGTGTCCTTCGTGGACTGTCCCGGCCACGACATTCTGATGGCCACCATGTTGAACGGAGCCGCAGTGATGGACGCCGCCCTCCTGCTCATCGGTGAGTGTCGGGTCAGCGGGACAAACTCCAGCTGGTTTCTGTTTTCACCGAGCGCTGACTCGGGTCTGTCTGGTCCCGTTCTGTCCGTCCAGCGGGGAACGAGTCGTGTCCTCAGCCTCAGACGTCGGAACATCTGGCCGCCATTGAGATCATGAAGCTGAAGCACATCCTGATCCTCCAGAACAAGATCGACCTGGTGAAGGAGAGCCAGGCCAAGGAGCAGTACGAGCAGATCCTGGCCTTTGTGCAGGGTGAGTCCGGACCGGGTCTGCAGGTTTTTATTGTAGAGTGAAGTAAATATGCTTTATGTTAAGTTATGTTTGTCATGTGCAGGTTCACACAAGGTCAACAACGCAATGAAATGTTAAGGATGAGAAGAATCGATTCCTTTATAAATAATCTTGACTTTTCTTGTTGCTTCTTAAAAAAAGGAAACTCCACAAACTTTATAAAGCTCCGATGAGGCTTCTGTCTCTCCCAGCCCAGGTTTTATTTTTTTTATATCTATTTGGCATCTAAAGTCTGGTTTGTGCTGCAGGCACGGTGGCCGAAGGCGCTCCCATCATCCCCATCTCGGCGCAGCTAAAGTACAACATCGAGGTGGTTTGTGAGTACATCGTGAAAAAGATCCCCGTTCCCCTCAGAGACTTCACCTCCGAACCCAGACTCATCGGTGAGGGAAAACCACCTGTGCTGACCCACTTTTTGTGTTTTTGTGCGATTGTAATTTAATTTGAACGTGTTTTGGGTTCAGTCATCAGATCTTTTGATGTGAACAAGCCGGGTTGTGAGGTGGACGACCTGAAGGGGGGCGTGGCTGGAGGAAGCATCCTGAAGGGTGTGCTGAAGGTAAGGTCGGTGACAGAAACCTGTTCTGGTGTGGTTTAGGTTTTATCTAACCCCCACCTGTGTGACCTCCAGGTGGGTCAGGAGCTCGAGGTCCGGCCTGGCATCGTCTCCAAAGACCACGAAGGAAAACTGATGTGTAAACCCATCTTCTCCAAGATTGTGTCTCTGTTCGCAGAACACAACGACCTTCAGTACGCTGCACCGGGAGGCCTCATCGGTGAGACTCGCACACAGTTTGCAAGATAAAAGGAGCCGACTGTCAGCCCAAAGGGCAGTGGTGGGCAGTTTACTGTTTTATTGTTTTTGTTTAGCAGGTTAGCGTTTTCACTAACTTTGGAAACCTTTAGCGGAATTAGCTTCCACTAAATTAGATTTCGTCAGCTTTAAGTTCGTTAACAAAATTCACAAGCTTTTTCCTGTTTGTTGTGGGCGTGTCTCAAAAAGACTCCACTAGGCACGCGATTGGCTGACTGCGTGTACACATGACAAGACGTGATTGGTCGACGCAGCTTCAACTGGAAGCAGATGCAGAATGACGGTCGTCTTAGTGGTTCAGTGTTAGTGCTGCTAAATTTTTTTACCTGTAGATATTTTAGATAGCAGAATATGGGTTAGCGAAGTTAATTTTTGTTTAGCTGTGCCCACCTGCCGAAAGGTAAGCAAGCTACAAGACTAGTTCAAAGCTTAATGAAGCAGCACAGTATCTGAAACATCTTTATGGAGGACTTTAACAGGATCTCAAGAGTTTTCATGGTAAAGTATTTATAAAGTTACATTTTTAAAAAGTGTAAAATTTACAGAATTTAAAAGTCTCGGCTTCTTTCTGCTGAACAAGCCGAAAGTTTTGATTGAAGAACAGCTTATATAAAAGTCTGCAGCAGTACTCGGGTTTTAAAAAGTATAAATGATGTTTTTCTTCCAGGCGTCGGCACAAAGATCGACCCGACTCTGTGCCGAGCGGACCGGATGGTGGGTCAGGTCCTGGGAGCCGTCGGGGCTCTGCCGGAGATCTTCACGGAGCTGGAGATCTCCTACTTCCTCCTGAGACGGCTGCTGGGGGTCCGCACCGAGGGAGACAAGAAGGCTGCCAAGGTGAGCGGTGCTTCATGGGAATTGTAGTTCAACCTGACAGATGAACGGAACCAACAGCTTCACCGTCCGCTCTCCAGGTCCAGAAGCTGTCCAAGAACGAGGTTCTGATGGTCAACATCGGCTCGCTGTCCACAGGAGGCCGGGTCAGTGCCGTCAAGGCCGACTTGGCCAAGATCGTGCTCACCAACCCGGTGTGCACGGAGGTGGGAGAGAAGATCGCTCTGAGCCGGCGTGTGGAGAAACATTGGCGGTAAGATGGGTCAGAACCCAGAGAAGTTCTGTTCAGGGTTGGGTACTGATCCATTTCTGTTTGTTTGTCTCAGTCTGATCGGCTGGGGACAGATCCGGAGAGGCGTAACCATCACACCCACGGTGGACGATGACTGAAAACCAGACCGGGACCAGGACTGGCCCACCGGACCAGGACCGGACCACTCCTTTAGGCTTGTTTTTTATTCTCACGTTTCAGGAGGACGAGGACAAAACATGGACATTTCTCTGATTCAAAGACGCTCCTCCGTCTCCTGCAATGGAGGAGGAGCGTCCTAACAATCCTCCACACACTGGGAGTCCAGTCAGAACAGAACCGGTCCGGTTCTGGCTGCAGATCCAGATGGAATAAATAAATCTGAAAAGAACCTTCTGGTCTTAGAGCATTTGTTTTGTTTTCAGCTCAGACTGGAGCTTAAAATAAATCAGATTATTAGATCTTTTATTTAGAAATATTTAGGTTTAAAAATATTTAGAAAAATTTAAGCTTCTAAAAAATCTTAAATATTTAATGTTTTCAGAACTTTAGAGAACAGAAAATGTTCAGTTTATGATTAAATGTTCTGAATGGGGGAGTGGTGGCGCAGAGGTTAGAGAAGGTGGGCTTGTGATCGGAAGATCTCCGGTTCAAGCCCCGGTAGACAACATCAAAAATGTGGGTGGGGTAGGTGAAGCATCCACACCTGCCCCCACCCTCATTCGTCCCATCCTGGACCCTTGAGCAAGGCCCTTAACCCCCACCATCTGCTCCTCCGGGTGTCCTAGATAGCAGCTCTGCTCCACACAGAGGCTGTGGTAGCTCGGTGGTCTGTGGTTGTGTCAGGAAGGACATCCGGCGTAAAAATAACTTCCAAGTCTTCGACTTAGTTCGCTGTGGCGACCCCCCCCAACGCAGGGAGCAGCCGAAAGAAAAAAAAGATTAAACGTCTTGAATAAACACAAGATTATTGCTGGAGATGTTTTTAAAGACATTTAGAGAAAAGCAGTTTTTAAGGTTTCTGCTGCGACAGAAAACAAAAAAATATATTTAATATTTATCGTAGGTCATAAAGAGTTTAGGTATTTAATGTTGGATTATTTGGATTTTGGGTCAATATTTGATCAATTTTACATCAAACTAACATGTTTTTAAAACATAGAAATGAAAGATAACTCAGAAATGTCAAAAACTTTAATTTTGGATAAAATTAACATGAAGTTTGACTTTTATGAAGTCTCATTTGTTTTATTTTCCTTCCCAGCAGATAGATTTGTAAAGTTTAACCTTTTAAACGTTGTTTTAATGGGTTTTCAGACTTTCTGAAGATTTCTTTTTTGTTTAGATATTAACAATTTTTTTTAAATTAGATTAAAAGTTTTAATAAAATATTTAACTTGATAAACTGCCGGTGATAGCTAATCAAACATTTACTGAAGGAGTTGTCACTTCCGGGTTGAGGCACCTGACGGTCACGTGATGCAGGTAGACGTGCGCGACTACTAGAAACGAGTTATTTTGAGTCATCTAAACTAAGAACTTTAAAAACATTAACATTTGTTTCGTTTTATTTCCAACATGGAGCCGACAGGTGAGAGGATTTATTTTGGTTTAGGGTTAAATAAACCCGGAGCTCTGTCTCGAAGGTTCACTGAACATTTTCTTTCCCGGGCAGAACTCTTGGGTTTTGTTCTGGTCTTGGTCACAAACATTAAAAAAGCGGAGGTCCAGGTTCTGGAAAGGACTAAAAGCTAAGATGGTTCTAAACTTGTTAGATATCGGAGCAGAAGTTATATTTTTCCGTGATATAAAAATTTATTTTTGAGCTTTTCAACACCGTTCTATAAACGGATTGTCCTAAGGAAATATTGTAACCAGTTAGTATCTTACCTGTTTTAGATATCTCTTTGATTGGACTCAGTTTAATACCAGTTCATGGACTGCTACTCTGAGAAACAAAAAATATATTTAAAAATGAAAGAAAAACTTCAAATTGAAATAAACTTGAGATGGTTCTGGACTTTTTCTGTTTTACTTTAAAAAAAATTTAAATTTATCAGATGGTCAGCGGGGGAGGGACGGCGGTCACAAACGCTCCCCCTTTGACGTCATCTTGAGTCAGATCCGCAGGAAGCGCTCAGCCTCAGACAGGAAGCCGCTGGGACGCTTTCTGTCCTGGACTTCAGATCGGACGGGGATCCCCGAGGACGCGGAGCCGGAGAGCCGAGGACTGAGTCCAGGTGAGGAGGAGTCTGGTAGGTCTGAAACAATATGGCCGCCTGCTTCCTGTCCCAGTTGGTCACAGGTGTGTGGTGTGTTTCAGGTGTCCCGGTGCCAGCAGAGAGCGAGCAAGACGTCGGCTGGGGTCGAGTTTGTGTTTTCCTGCAGAAGTTGGGGAAGAAGGCTGACAGCCGGAGTCTGAGTCTGGCTCACTGTGATCTGACCCCCACAGACCTGCTGGAGCTCGGTATGGAAACACAAAATCCTGGGTCCATATCCTTGAGGACCACAGTCCTGAAACCCTCCTTCAGCTCCCAAGTTCTAGACCAGGACATAAACGGATCCAGTCTTTAGGTTCTGAAAGGATTTGAATCAAACCTGAAGGAAACAAAAACAACAAATTACACCGAGTTGTTATTTATTTAACAGAAACTGGGTCCAGACCTGATCCAGCAGCTTCTAGAACTTCTATCAAAACTCAGTGGTTTTCTGTTTGTCTCTCATGGTTGTGGAGGAGTTCTGGTCCACTCTTCTTTCCATCGTTGCTTCAGTTCAGCTCTCTGAAGCTCCAACCACAGCATCTCAGTCAGGTTCAGGTTCTGGACTCTGACTGGATCATTGGTTCTTCTGACCGTTCTGCTGTAGATCAGCTGCTGTGTTTGAGATCATGGTTCTGTTGGACCCACTTTGTTTGGTCCAAGTTTCAGCTGTTGGACAGATGGACTCGTTTGTCTCCAGAACCCTTTGGTCTACAGAAGAGTTTGTGGTCCACACAGTGACTGACATGAGCCCAAACCATCAGCCTCCACTACCGTGCTGACACCTGGGAGGAGCTGTTTGCTGCAGTGCATTCTGGGTAAACCTCTGTCCTTTGGTCTGGTTCTGGTCCAAAGGTCTTGTGGTTCCTTCAGATGAAACTTAGTCATGCTGCCATGTTGTTTTTTGAGAGAAGAGGCCGTGACCTGCTGACTGAGGCCTGCAGAGTCCGAGATGAAGCTCATTTCTCTGAGCACTGCACGGTCTGACCTTCAGGGTGAAGTTGCTGGCAGCTGTCTTAAATGTTTTCCACTTGTGAATAATCTTTCTCTGTCGAACGATGAACTGCAGATAGTTTGGAAACAGCCTTTGCCTCTTCAACAGCTGTCTTTCTGTGGTCATTGCTGATGTCTTTCCGTCTCGGCGTTGTGTTAACACACCTGTATGGTCCAGAGCAGCAGCTCCTGGCCGAAACTGAACCTCTGAAATCCTGTGGGAGGGTTAAAATAATTTATTTTCCTTCTTTCTGCTCCTCAGCATCGTTGCTGCAGTTCCTCCCTCAGCTGGAGGAGATGGACGTCTCCTGGAACGAGCTGGTTGGTGGAAGTCTGATGGCGTTAACCTCTCACCTCCAGCATGTGGGCGGGGTCAGGACCCTGAGGCTCTGCAGCTGCAGGATGAACTCTGAGGACGTCTCTGCTCTGGGTGAGACATTTACATGAACATTGTTTTTAGTCTCAGTTCTGGACTCGCGTTCTGAGACGTCACTTGTTTTAATGTCTAGTCTGTTTGTCCAGGCGAAGCTCTCGGTTGTGTCCCTCATCTGGAGATCCTGGATTTGTCCTGGAACGGCGGCGTTGGAGGCGGCGCTTTGCGAGGCCTGCTGGGTAAACTTCCACCGTCACTGAGGGAGCTCCACCTGGTGGCCTGTCGGCTCTCTGCAGTGGACGCTGCAGCTCTGGGTACAGGTTTCTGGGTTTTACTGAGTTTCACGTGAGTCCAGCTGTGTCCTGTGATGGACTGATCTTGGTTCTTGTCCCCCGCAGGTGGAATGGTGTCCATCCTGCCGAAGCTCTGTCTTCTGGACGTCTCCTGCAACCCTCAGCTCTCACAAGAAATGGACCAGGGTGGTTTCAGAGAGCTGGCCTCCTCCCTGTCTCACGCCACCTCCCTGACCACGCTTCGGTTCCAGGCCTGCGGTCTGACACCAGCCTGTCTGGACGATCTTGGTGGGAGGAGTTTAACACAGAACTTTTTATTTTATTTACATTTTACACCACATGTTGAACAGCTTTATGGTTTGTTCTGCAGGTGGTTCATTTCACTGCCTCCCCTCTGTGCGAGAGTTGGACTTGTCCTGTAACAAACGCCTGTCAGGAGGCCTGACCCGCCTCACCTCTCACCTGGCTCACCTCTCACACCTGGAGGTCCTGGACCTCCACCTGTGCTGCCTGACGCCGGCTGACGTGGAGGCCCTGAGTGAGTCGCTGTGAAACCTCAGACCCTGGTCTGAAGCAGAACAGGAGTCACCTGACCTCTTGTCTTCAGCCCAGGTGCTCCCCTCTCTGCCGGCGCTGGTGGAGCTCGACGTTTCGTCCAATAAGGAGGCAGGACACATGGTCCATCAGCTGGTCTCCGCCCTCCAGCTGACCCAGATGAGGCGGCTGCCGCTCAACAGCTGCAGGCTGGACAAAGAGTCTTTTACTGCTCTGGGTGAGAATTTTTATTTTTTAAGTGCTTTGTGTTGTCATCATTGTCTCATACAATGACTGAGTTGGCTCTCTGCATTTAACCCGTCACACCTGAGATAAACCCAGGTGGAGCAGTGGGCAGCTATCGTTCACGATAATGATTATAATGATTATAATGATTATAATGATTATTAGACCAGAAGTCGTCTCAGGGCACTGTACAAAAACATTCACATACATTCCAAAAAAGCCAATTAGTAACAAATTATATATTTAAGGAAACCAGCAGATTGTGTTGAATCTTAACTTGGTCGCATTCCCAGCCTGAGCAAGCACATAGTTGATAATGATGTTGATGACGATATATTGATGATTAAGATGAGGATGACATTGACGTTCATTTTCATGATGGGGATGATGATGTGGTGTTTTAGCTCTGGCGGTGCCATACCTGCACAGCCTGGATGTTTCCTGGTGTAAGGTGGTCGGGACCCGGTTGCAGTTGCTGCTGGACTCTCTGCAGCCGTCCGTCATCGTGGAGCTCCGCCTCAGCAGCTGCCAGCTCGTCACCGATGACCTGCGTCGCCTCGGTAACTGATGGACACACTTCAAACATACTGCTGCCCTTGGGTCAAAGTGCCTTGTGGGTCAGTTTGACCCAAGGGCAGCTGAAGGGTTAAAGATTATTTTATGAGTGATGAGCTGGTTTTTATTATGAACAGTACAAACCTAAAAAAAAATGTAACCTTTTTATTTTGGGTAAGTGATTAAGTTCATATTAAGTTATTTAAAATATTATTATGTTTCAACTTTTAGATTGAGTTTAAATGTTATTGGGTAATCTTTTGGCATTTCAGGGATTTAAAAACTACTTAAACTTTTGTTATATATAATTTAATATTGTTTTACTCTAAACGTTGTAAAAGTTTGAAGTAAGGTTTTTTATTTATTTATTATTTTTAATTGATTTGCTGAGTTTTGAATCGATAATGGACTGACTTCTGGTCGTGCAGCTGAGGTGTGCAGGCGCAGCTGTCTATCCTCCCTCCGGCTTTTGGACCTGTCCTACAACGGCTCGGTCGGAGACGATGGCTGGTCTGCCCTGTTTGCCGCGGGCGGCCTCGGCTCGATGGAGGACCTGGACCTCAGCCTGCGACCTTTGACCTCTGCTCCCTGCTCGGGTTGGCTGCACGTGCTGCTCTCGGCTCTGCCCAGGATGCCGGCACTGGCCCGGCTGGCGATGCGGCGCTGGAGCACGGGACCCCAGGAGAGACGACAGCTGGAGTACACCGTGAAGCACAGAAACATCCGACTGGACCTGGACCAGAACCCCACAGAGTCCGAGTGGAAGGTGACGGATCAGGAAGAGAGTCAGCCGGAGGAGTAGAGACGAAGGTCGAGTTTTAAAACAAACTTCCAGCGATTGTTGCTTTAAACGATTCCATCAAATCAGAGGAAACGTCCAGAGACTGAATGATGAACGGAATAATTTTAAATAAATGTTTTAATAAGAACCAGCGAGGTGTTTTATACAAGCTGTGCGTCTAAATGTTTTTCGTTACTGTTAAGAGTCATAAACTTGGAGAACGCTCCTGCAGCTGTAGAACCAGAACTCTGACACAAACATCGGCTGAGGGATGGAAACAGGCGAACCTTCAGCTGATCACATCAGCCAGGAACCGACAACTAACCCACCGGCTGGGTCAGAGGTCAGACCCAGATCTACCTGCTCCTGCTGGACCGTACCAGACCCTGACCCCACTCCCAGATGGGCCCGGTGTACGCCTGTGTGGGTCAACCTGTGTTACCTGGACCTGTTTTCAGATCCTCCCTTACAGCTGCAGTCTGGACGGAGCGGAGCAAGAAATCCTGGGAGTCCGTTTCAGTCAATGAGAGGAGAACAAAGTTGGACAGGAAGACATGTGGACACTGAGGGGCCTCTGTGTCCCTATAGTGTGTACGACAGAGACGGGGACGTTTTGATTTTGTACTCTGACAGCAGGCTACTCCTCGGCCCTGTTGACTTAAATTTTCTTTTGTTTTGTAATTTTTATATTTGTCTTGTTCAGGGAGCCTCGTGGACTGTAATCCTTCAGAAATGTCTTGTTTTTATTGTTAGAGTTCAGACAAAGGTTGTAATTTTTTTAAACATTTTATTTATATTCACCTTAATAAAGATCTATTTGTGTGCACAAACTTGAACTGCAGCTCCTGAGTGAGTCTTGGTGAGTTTTTTAAATGTATTGTGCTGGGTTTTGTTCATGCAGGAAAACACGAGATGAACGAGACCTCAGGTTTTAGGCGCTCTCCTTCCTGCCTCCACCTTAAAGCCTCAGAGAGGAGTGTGAGCTTTACGGCCGGGTCTCCTGCAAGGTGTTGGCACTGACGAGAGGTCAGCCACGTCACTGGCTCATCTGGCTCTCGGCTAAGTCAGCCGTCAGTTTTTAAATCTGGGAAACATGCGTGTCCATCACGTTAATTTGTTGCTTGCTCACGGATCGTGCTTCAACCACAGAACTCCCAGAAATTAAATAAAATAACAGAACACTTCTCATTAGTGTGCATGGAATGTCCATCGTCTCCAACTGGAAGTGAGGAGTCTTTTTACCTTTTTATAATGATAATAAACTTTATTTCTATAGCACCTTCCAGCAACGCCTTGCATTAACCAGAGTGCTTTACAAGATAAAATAAATAAAAACAGGGCACAATAAATCAATGCAAATTAAAAACACAGCCAGAATAAAAGAAGGTAAAAGAGATTTTAAAAAAAAAAGCTAAATACTAAAATATAAAAAGTTAAACATTAAAAGCTCTTCTAAATAAATGGGTCTTCAGTTTGGCTTTGAATGGAACAGGTTTTTGTACCCGCTACGTAAAACGTGGACCGTCAGAACCTTCTCTGAACCGCTCTGGGTCCAGTTTTTTTTTTTTTTTTTTTTTCTGTCTGCCTGTCTTATTAAGACTATAAATTTCAGGCTGTTTCTTTGAATTTAAAGGTCTCACGTGGCAGTTTGCTGTGTTGAAGGTTCAGTATTGGCGTTTTGAAGATGACCTTTGTGTTCATCAAAGGAACGAGCTGAAGGACGTCCCACCATCTTTGGACGTGTCCGTACTGTCTGAGAAAGAAACATATTTCCTCAAAGTCTGGTTGACCTCGGCGAGGAAAACATGGCCGTCCACCTCGTAGGCACTGACGTCTGTCTGCTCGGGCGGCAGGCGGCCGCTGGACATCAGCTCCCTGAAGACCTGAGGAGGAATCAGCTGTGAACATGGAGGAAATTTGAGGGAGGGGGTTTGTTTTACCTGGCAGACGGGCTCCTCCAGGCGGTTTCCCCAGATGTACAGGTGAGTCAGAGTTGGGTTTGTCTTCAGAGCTTGAGCCAAAGACAGCAGACCCTCGGTGCTGATGCTGTTTCTGCAGACAGATAACCTGCAGCAACACAAACCGTCTGAAACTGAAAAGTCTCAAAGAAAGGTCCAATAAATGTCAGCCGGGTCCTTTAGGTTGTTTCCAGGGTCAAAACAAACATCAGATGAAACGAGTTGTTCTGATGAAGCTGGACTCACTCTTTCAGAACGCAGCCGGGCCAGGTGACGGCCTCGCTCAGGTACACACAGCCTTCATCCTCGATCCGATTGGACGTCAGATCGATGAACTCTAGGGTCGAGTTCTGCTTCAGCACCTCGGACAGATGGAGAGCTCCGTCACGGGCCACACGGTTACTGAAAATAAAAACAAAGAACTGTGCAAAAGTCTTGCTCAATGGTCCTCCAGACTTCATGAAGGTCTTTTGTTTTAACCTTGGCTGCTTTTTTACTATGATGAGTCCAGTTCTACCTGTACAGGTTAAAATAAGTCATTAAAAAAATATAACTTCTTGATAACCACTTTCTTTCTGAGTACTTGTGGAAGACACACCGATATTTATAAATTTGTAAAAGAAAAATTATTATAAAACATTCTTAAATTAGATGTTTTGTCTTTGCGTTCACTTCTATCTTCAGTTGGTAATCCAGAGGTAAAATGTTATGTGGCCTAACAAACAAAAAACTGCTCAAGTCTAAAGAAAAACTCAGCAAGACCTTCAGAAAGTCTGGAGAACTGTTGATTAAGACCATTTTAATGAAAAACAAGAAAGTCGAAGGGAAAAGATAAAAAATAAGGAATGGATCACGGCTTTTGTGGTGGTTTTGTTCCTACCAGCGCAAGTCCAGGTAGCGCAGAGTGCTGTTCTTCTTCAGGCCTTCAGCCAGCCTCTCCATGCCGGTGTCCGTCAGTCCCACCTTCCCCAGGTGCAGCTCCACCAAGCTGCTGTTCATCGCCAGCATCTCTGAGAAGGACATGGTCCACTCCTCCTGAGACAGAGTCCTTTATCAGACCCAAGACCAGAACCTGAAACTGTTCTTTGATGCTTTACTTGTTCCTACCTGCTGGCTGAAGAGCAGCGGACGACTGATATCCAGAGAACGCAGAACCGTGTTGTTCTTCAGCACCGTGACAAAAGCTAACAGTCCACTGATGGCCTGCAGAGACACAGAAAAGGCCGACTGTAATAAACAGGATCAGTTAAACTCTGACTGTTATGTGAATATGTTTACCAGGTCACAGTCGGACAGCTGCAGCTCCTGCAGAGTCTTGTTTATCTGCAGCATCCGGGCCAGATGCAGGACTCCTCTGTCCCCGATCCTGTTACCAGACAGCCTGAGAGTCATCAAGCTGCTGTTACACTGCAGAGAGGAGGAAACACACGTTTAGTGTTCAGTACTCTGCTTCAACTACCGGTTCTGTTTTTGTTCGCTAATGCTTTTAGCAAGGCTTTTGCTACTTTTACTTTTTTTTTTTTACATTTACTTTTTTATAGTTTCATTATTTGTAACAGTTTTTTGTTACCGTGTGTTAGTTTGTTAGTGAAAGAGGGTTTGTTAGCAATAGTTTGATTGTTAGCAATAGCTTATTTGTTTGTTGGTGATTGTTAGCAATAGTGTGTTTGTTTGTTTATTATTGATAATTTGTTAGTGATAGTTTATTTGATATCATATTTTTATTATTAGTTTGTTAGCGATTGTTAGCAATAGAGTGTTTGTTGGTAATAGTTGGTTAGTGATAGTTTGTTAGCAATGGTGTGTTTGTTTATTATTGATAATTTGTTAGTTTCATATTAGTTTTTTATTGATTGTTATTAATAGTTTGTTTGTAGATGATGGTTCATTTATTATTAATTGTTTCTTTGATATTCATATTCTGTTTGATATTATTGGTTTGATTGTTAATAATTGGTTGTTACTGATAGTTTGTCTGGTAGCGATAAAAACCTTCAGACTGCTGGCGAGGTCTTCAGCTCCGTTCGTCTGGATGTTGTTAAACTTCAGGTCTAAAGAGCGCAGAGATGAGTCCCCTGCCTGCTCAGAAATAGAAAATATAATGTTTAAACAAATACTTCTGTTTGCCTATTCTGTGTTAGTAAACAAAGATGTGTTTACCTGTTTATAAGTTAGTAAACAATGATATGTTTACTTGTTTATAGGTTGGTAAACAACGATGTGTTTACCTGTTTATATGTTAGTAAACAATGGTATGTTTATCTGTTTATAGGTTAGTAAACAATGATGCATCTACCTGTATATAGGTTAGTAAACAATGATGCATCTACCTGTTTATATGTTAGTAAACAAGGATGTGTTTACCTGTTTATAGGTTAGTAAACAAGGATGTGTTTACCTGTTTATAGGTTAGTAAATTATGCTTTATTCCTGTTGATTTACCTGGATGAGGTCAGCGAGGTGTCCGGCTCCTTCATCACCTATGTTGTTGTATTTCAGGTCCAGACCTGTTTAACCAGACAAACAAGAGAAGAACAAGTAGTTTGAACCGTTTCACGTATTTTAATCTAAACTTGACGGTTCACCTGAGACACACTGGTTATTTTGGAGACATATGGTCAAGGAAAAGACATCCTCATCACTGATTCTCTGAATGTGGTGGAATCTGCTGTTCCCACTCAGATTTAAGGAGAGGTTTCTGCAACATGAAGAGAAAATGAATCAATAAAAGTCCTTGTTTATTTAAATGTTCCATCCTAACAGTCAGTCCTTTAAAATGGATGTCCTGATTTAGAGTTCATTGATTGATTTAGTCATCTGCAGATCACTCAGTTTCAGCGATTTGTTTTATTTTTTAACCACTTTACCTCTTACCTTTGACCTCTGGATGAAACCTCTTCTTGAATTTTGTTTTTACTGAAAGTTATTTTAGTTATCAGTCTTCCTAATGTCATTAGAGTTAGAGAGAGAAAATACCGTAATAATGATTTATTAACAAAACTTTAGGCTAGTTTATACAAATAAATAAATAAAAAAGCCACACAAACATTTATAGTTGTTTGGTGTAACTGCTTGTTCTCTGCAGTAAGTACTTTTTTTTTTTACCTTGAAGATGAACAAATAAAATTTATAATAAAAAAGGTTAGCCAATATATGTATAACCTATAAACTTTGTTTGATTAAAAAACAATTAGTAAACATGTTTGTTGCGTTAATCTTTATGCGCTATTCATGTATTTACTTGTTAATGGATTTATGAATAATTTTAAATCATTTAAAAACATAAACAATGTTTTGAATTTATTAAAGACAAAAGTAATAAAATTTAATAATTTAATACTTTTATTAACTTCAACTTATAAAAGAGTTTTATAGTTGAATGGTAATTAATAAAATATAAAAAATAATTGTAACTAGTTTTGCTTTTTTGCATTTATAACGATAGATTTTATGTCTTTATTTACCTTTAGGTTTGGATTATTCAAACTATTTCAAACCAACAAAACAATCAAATAAATAGATTTCATTAAATAAACTCACATAAAACTTTTACAAACTAAGGATATGTTTAAATTTTGTACTGAAACACATTTTTGCTGTAACTTCTTTACCTTTTCGGGGGTTTAATTATTTGTTTTAATTGAACATCAGAAATACCCGGATGTAGCGTTAGCTCCTGAAGCTAATCCACATTCTTGCTAAAAACTTCTGACTTTAGGAACTTGTGCTCAACGTGAAAATACTCACCCTACTTCTGTGCTCTTCTTTAAAGTATCTGAAATACACGGGTTTATTTTTATCTCATGTTTGGCACAGACGGCTTCGTAACACTCCGAAAGAGTTTTGCTATCCATATTTAGATATTCGGCGTAGCTGCTGTTGCTATGACAACGCAAACGCATGACGTCACTTTTACAGGAAGTTGGGTTAGTTTTCTTTCTTTTAACACTGCTTTAGTTTTTATGGTTAATTTGATACATTATAATTATTTTAGTTTTAAAGCTCGGTGAAATTTATCTGATATCAGTACGAAAGAAAATGCCATTAAGAAGATGATGGTGCATGTAGACGGTTTTGTTTGGGGTTCGAACCCGCGGCCACTGCGATCAATCGTTTAAACAGCGTCCCTAGTGGCGGAACGTAAAACTTATTCAAAATAGGCTAAAATGCAAATTTAACTTTTAAACAGATTATTTACCTGTTTTATACATTATTTGTACTTTTATAGAATAAACTTTAATATTTTTTGGACCAAGTTTCTTTAATTGAGAATAAAACAATCCATCAGATAAACTGAAACCCCGATCTGTTAAAAAACTACAAACCGGATTCCAAAAAAGTTGGGACACTAAACAAATTGTGAATAAAAACTGAATGCACTGATGTGGAGGTGCCAACATCTAATATTTTATTCAGAATAGAACACAAATCACAGATCAAAAGTTCAAACTGAGAGAATGTATCATTTTAAGGGAAAAATTTGTTGTTTCCAAATTTCATGGCGTCAACAAATCCCAAAAAGTTGGGACAAGTCCATTTTTACCACTGTGTGGCATCTCCCCTTCTTCTTACAACACTCAACAGACGTGTGGGGACAGAGGAGACCAGTTTCTCAAGTTTAGAAATAGGAATGTTCTCCCATTCATGTCTAATACAGGCCTCTAACTGTTCAATCGTCTTGGGCCTTCTTTGTCGCACCTTCCTCTTTATGATGCGCCAAATGTTCTCTACAGGTGAAAGATCTGGACTGCAGGCTGGCCATTTCAGTACCCAGATCCTTCTCCTACGTAGCCATGATGTTGTGATTGCTGCAGAATGTGGTCTGGCATTATCGTGTTGAAAAATGCAGGGTCTTCCCTGAAAGAGATGACGTCTAGATGGGAGCATATGTTGTTCTAGAACCTGAACATAGTTCTCTGCATTAATGGTGCCTTTCCAGACATGCAAGCTGCCCATGCCACAAGCGCTCATGCAACCCCATACCATCAGTGATGCAGGCTTCTGAACGGAGCGTTGATAACAACTTGGGCTATCCTTGTCCTCTCTGGTCCGGATGACATGGCCTCCCAATGTTCCATAAAGAACTTCAAATCGTGACTCATCTGACCACAGAACAGTCTTCCATTTTGCCACACTCCATTTTAAATGACCCCTGGCCCAGTGCAAACGTCAGAGCTTGTGGAGCTTGCTGAGAAATGGCTTCCTCTTTGCACTGTAGAGTTTCAGCTGGCAACAGCGGATGGCACGGTGGATTGTGTTCACTGACAATGCTTTCTGGAAGTATTCCTGAGCCCATTCTGTTATTTCCTTGACAGTGGCATTCCTGTTTGAGGTGCAGTGACGTTTAAGGGCCCAGAATTCATGAGAATCCAGTAGAGTTTTACGGCCTTGACCCTTACGCACAGCGATTGTTCCAGATTCTCTGAATCTTTTGATGATGTTATGCACGGTTGATGATGATAACTTAAAGGTCTTTGCTATTTTACGCTGGGTAACTCCATTCTGGTATTGCTGCACTATCTTTCTGTGCAACAATGGTGGAATTGGTGATCCTCTTACCATCTTGGCTTCTGAGAGACACTGACACTCTGGGATGCTCTTTTTATACACAATCATGTTGTCAATTGACCTAATTAGTGTTAATTGGTCTTCCAGCTGTTCGTTATATGCTCAATTTCCTTTTTCTAGCCACTTATTGCTACTTGTCCCAACTTTTTTGGGATTTGTTGACACTGTGAAATTTTGAATCAACATATTTTTCCTTTAAAATGTTACATTTACTCAGATTAAACTTTTGATCTGTCATCTATGTTATATTACAAATAAAATATTGACATTTGCCATCTCCACATCATTGCATTCAGTTTTTATTCACAATTTGTTTAGTGTCCCAACTTTTTTGGAACCCGGTTTGTACATTACTGATGTTTAAGTTGCTTTAAAAGCATCTTGGTAATTGTGTTATTGTGCTTAATTCTTAATTACTGTAATGTTTAATTGAAGTCTCTACTTGTGACCTATCCAGGGTGTCCCCCGCCTCTCACAGTGTCAGCTGGATATGGGCACCAGTGACCCCCAAGACCCAAAAAGAAAGAAGCAGGTAAAGATAATGGATGGATAGATGAAGTCTGCTGAAGCTTTATGAAAATATATATTTTTAATCATAAAATAATAATCAAAAAAAGGTTTAAAACTCATTTTTCTTTTAAAATCACATTTATTCAGATGTACACTGGGATGATTCTAGAATTTGACAGCTCATCCATGCACAAATATGCGCCACAAAATTTTAAATACTGTTAGAATATAATATTTTAATGTTCGGAGTTCTTATCTAAAGCTACTGGATTGAACTTTTAGGCCTTTTAGACATTTAAACTCCTCGTTTTTGATCTCAAGTTCATAAAAACAGCCAATAAACACTTTATTTTCTTGCAGTTTTTAATACAGCAGTGAACATTTACATGTGTATAATACTGCACAAGTAATGCAGACTTTTAAAAATAAAAGCAGTTTCAAGCGAACGGGAATGATTTATGTACACGTTTAAACGAAAACATGACCTTAAATACATCACAGGTGAAAAACTACGAGCATGAAAGGTAAAAAACTAAATCTGGTTGTGATTAAAGCGCTCCTGCTCTCTACATTAGGTGTTCAGAGTAAACAAAACGTGCCCACAAGAAGCAAAAAGCTCATTTATTTTAATTAAAGTCGACACACCGAGGTTAAAAAAACTAAAACAAGAACGTTCTTCTGAAGGTGAAACAATTTATTTCCCATTATAAATTTGTAAATGTATTTAAAGCAAAGAAAATCAGTGTTTTGTCTAAGATTTGTTTTCATTTCAAAATGTGTGAAAATAAAACATTTAAAAAGCATTAATTTAAAAGTAATTTGAGCAAAAATATGTGAAGTCTGTAAAATTATCAATTTTACAAGATTTAGATGAAAATAATAATAAACCAGATGTTTTTAAGATTTTTTTTTAACTCATCTTCAGGACTTTCCCAGCCGAGAGTCAAATTATCTTTACAGAAGTCTCATTTTAAAATACCAAACTCAGATGTTTTATCAACTTTTGGTCAGTTTTGAACTTTTAAACACAAAAAAATTACAAACTTGTGGCAGAAATTTCTTCAGTCACCTGAAGCACTGATGTTATGGTCTTAAAAAACCCAATAAAATTCACATTTTTCTTTCCTTTTTACAAATAATTCCTCTACAGACGGATCATTAGAATTCTCTTCTATTTGAATACTTGAAATAATTCGCACCAGAACTCCGAGCCCGTCTTTGATCCGACCCGAGAACAGTTTTCTGTTACGAACGTCACAGACAAACGTGCAGGTTTGAATTATTTGAGTTTTGTGTTGCAGGAAGTTCAAATAAAATAAAGAGAGAAGCTGAAGGAAATCTGCACTTGGCTGGAATTAGAGAAAATAGTTTTATAAAACAAAGAAGTTTCCACATCTTGTAATGTTGCGTTTCCATCTTGTCATCTTTTTGATAAAAATATAGGTAAACATTTAGACTAGAGCCCTTTTTTTTACACTCAAAACATTTTAAAAAAACCTAAACTGAACCAACAAGGACTGTTTTAGGTTAAATTTAAAAGCAACGACGTTAAACTGTTTTTAAATTTCCAAACGAAATTAAACAAACAGTTTTTATGAAATGTAACAAAAAAAAAAAAAAAGCTTCAAACTATTTAACTCGTTTTTCAACCACTTTCCTACACAAAACACTGAAGAAAATAATTTGTGATAAATTAATGACAAAACTACTTTATAGTACTCAAACAGAAAACAATAAAACATGTAAAATGATGCACTTTAAGCAAAAAAATAAATAAAATGTAACCCATAAAAGAATAAAACTACATCTTTAGGGAGTTTGTTTGCAGCAGAACTAAAAAGTTGGACTCTAAAAATAATTTAATGATTTTTTTTTTCTGCTGAAAACGGAATTATTTTAAATTAATAATAAAAACAGAACATTTTGGTCATTTTTAGGAAGGAGATGTTTGTATTATGAGGATGTAAAACTTCAAATGATTTGGGTTTTATTCGTTTAAACTCCTCGTTTTGTTTGTTTTTTATAACTCCTTCAGACAGAAACCAACAGATGAACGACAACTCGTTCCAAGTTCCGAAGAACTCCGGCAGCTTTTAAGATGCGTAGTTTTTATTCACAGCTGAAGATGATGGCGGTGACCTTTGACCCCGCCCCGCTCACTGCGGAGGGGCGGCGCCCTCGGCGGTGTCCACCGTCCTGATGATGACGATCTGCTCCAGGTTGGTGGCGGGCGACGCCGTGGGTCTCAGCTGCTCCACCAGAGCGTGCAGCGTGTCCGAGTTGATGGTCTGCTCCTGGTCGGGTTCAAAGGTCACCGGGTCGGCGGTGGTTAGGGGCAGTTGGGAGGGCTCCGGTTTGAACTCCTGGATGTCGGAGGTGTCAGTGGCGATGGGCTCGGCGATGGCGGTGTCGGCAGACGGCGCCAGGGCTTTGGGGTCAGGGGTGGTCGGCTCCGGGTTCAGCGGCTCGCCTTCAGGGATGGAAACCAATGTTTTGTTCTCCTGAGAGATTTTATTCTGAATGAAGGTCACGGGGTGGCTGGAAGCAAGGAGGACAACTGCAGAGGAACACAGAGGTCAAAGGTCACAGGAAGCCCTACAACATCTTCTAAACACATAATTCAAACATCGCTTCATTTTAATTTAAATAAATCTAGGCAAAAAAAAAAAAAACCCTCTCTAATACAATTAAAGGGATAGTTCAGATACTTCCAAGGCCAGTTTCTGTGTAAAACACAGCAAAAGTTAGTATCTTACCTGCTGCAGATAGCTTCTTGTACAGTTTGAAAATTTTTAGTTTATTTTTACTTGAATGGATCACTGCTGCATTAAATCGACTTTCTTCTGATGCCGATAATATTATTTTAAACCAGACTTTTTACTTTTTTTTTTTTTTTACCAAAACAGAACCAAGCAGGAGTCTCAAGTCTCTCTTGGACCTAATGTGAGCGAGATGGACTCAAACTATGATTGGCCAGTTACACAGAAACAGGAAGTAGGTGTTCCGAAAAGAGCTAGCTTGTATTGTCTAAGGCTTATTGAGGTAGTCAGCAAGTCTTGAGACTAAATACATCAATATCTAAAACACCGACTTTATTTAGAAAAGTTTTTTCACAAACCTTAATTTCACTTACTTAATTTAGAAACGTAATTTTTAAAAGATATATGAGAGTTAAACAACAAAACTCAGAACAACATGCAGCTTTTTCAAACCTTTCTTGCCAACTAGCTCGTTAAGCCTTGGTAATCATACGTTAGCTCTTATTCTGAAAAACTCACTTCCTGATTCTGTGGACTGGACCAATCACATTTCAAGAGTCCAACTGTGGACGTGTCACATGCTCATTGAAGTCCTACAGCCAGCTGCTGCTACCTCTGCAAATAACTGTCAAATGAAACTGAACCACTGAGATTTTTCAGGCTGGAGCTGTTTTCAGACAAATGAGATCCATTTTGGTCTTGGTCCCGATCAGACTAGCCTTTAGCTCATCAGTCTGATCAGAATTTAACGATTCCTCCAAACTGAAGAGCCATCTACTACAGGTTAGATACTAACTGTTGGGAACCAACTTCTAAAGAGCTGAACTGTCCCTTGAAGAGTGAAGACGAACTCTCGTCTGCTTCTCTTGTTTTGCAGGAGCTGCCGTGTTGAATTTTTGGCCCCGCCTACTTCACCTACACATCCTGAATCTTTTCATCATTTAAAAAGCTTAGAAAACTAAACTTGAACCAAGAGAATGAAGGTAAGAACTACGAAGATTAACAGGAGGATCACTTAGAATAAAAAATCAGTTTTTGTTTTGTTTTTCATTACAGGTACATAAATATGTAATTTATTTTTATGGACCTAAATCTTTACTGCATCCCGCCTACAGGGGGTGCCTCCCATACATACACTGTGTGTGTGGTCAACACACCTCACAGCTGCAGAACACACAAACTGCACAATGATATATATTTTAGCTTTCTTTTCAAGTCATTCATGTCCCCTCTGATAGTCGTGTCAGTTAAACACATATTTGGTGATAAAGGTAATAAACCCAGCTCACCGGCTCGGGCTCTCTCTTTGTGTTGTCGCACTTCGTCTGCATGAACCTTCTCCTGGTGTTTGATCATGTTCTTCACGCTGGCGAATCGGTTTCCACACAGCAGACACTGAACGCCCGAGTTTCCATCTGCAAAACCGCGACATCCCGACACTCAGAGGGTGGACAGAACAGCTACGACTCGGCCAAATTCACAGATGTTCAAATACGACTGGATTCAGCTCATGGAAGTTTTAACGGTAAATGAAAGAACGTCACCCGGGTGGAGTCGCCTCATGTGCTTCTTCAGCTCAGAAGACGTCACAAACTTGGCGCCGCACTTTGTTTGTGAGCAGACGTATGGAGTCTCGCCTGAACCAAACAAAAAAAACAAATGATGTCACCGTGTAACCGTGAGCTCTTCGGGTGTTTTTATTCTTTAGACGATAGTTTTACCCGTGTGTTTCCTGGCGTGGGCGATGAGGGACGAGGACACGGAGAACGACATGCCACACAGATCGCACTGGTACGGTTTCTCTCCGGTGTGCCGCCTCTTGTGGTACGTCAGGGTGCTGGACTGGGCGAAGGCCTGGCCGCAGATGTCACAGATGTACGGTTTCTCTCCGCTGTGGAGTCTGAAGGAAACACGCCGTCAGATGAAAGCACAGAAGTACCTGGGGGGTTTATCGGAGCCGTCCACCTGCCTGATGTGGATTTTGTAGTTTGATGACGTGGCGAACTTGAACCCGCAGCGGTCGCAGGTGAAGGGCTTCTCCTCGCCGTGGTGCATCCGGCGATGTGCGACCAGCTGACACTTCTGGGCGAAACACTTATCGCAGTCGCTGCAGCTGAACGGCTTCTCACCTGAAGACAAACCGGCAGAGACACCTTTAGAGTTTTCATCAGTAAAATCTCAACAGACGTTTTCTGTACGAAACGATCACACTAGATCAGGGCTATTCAACAAAACTGCTCAGGGGGCCACAGTTTCTGAAAGCCAGCAGCTCGGGGGCCGGACATCCAGCGGTTAAAATCATTATGTAAATAAACCAAAGTTTACAATGATCCGTTACCTTTTAAATTTGTTTATTTCATTGCATTGAATCATAAATGCAACGGGAGAGTGGTGGCGCAGAGGTTTGAGAAGGTGGGCCTGTGATCGGAAGATCTCCGGTTCAAGCCCCGGTACAGACAACATCAAAAATGTGGGTGGAGTAGGTGAAGCACCCACACCTGTCCCCACCCTTATTCGCCCCACCCTAGGCCCCTGAACAAGGCCCCTAACCCCCACCATCCGCTCCTCCCGGTGTCCTAGATAACACCTCTGCTCCACACTGAGGGCTGTGGTAGCTCGGTGTCTGTGGTTGCGTCAGGAAGAGCATCCGGCGTAAAAATAACTGACAAGTCTTCGTGCGACTTAGTTCGCCGTGGCGACCCCTAACGCAAGGAGCAGCCGAAAGAAAAAAATTAATCAACTGCAATAAACAGAACCCAAATTTTAAATATATATATATATATTTTTAATTAAGTGGGTCGGACTGAAGTCACTCGTGGGACGGAAATGGCCCGTTGAATAGCCCTGCACTATAGTGATCCTGTCTCTCTTTATTCCGCCTTTGACCTTTTTATTATTCAAAATGTTTTATTTTTCAAACTACTTCTGCAGACTTTGTGCTATTCTCAGTTATAAATCAAAACATTTGGCTCATTTGGAAGAAAGCTGCTGGGATTTCTGCAAATTTTATACTTTTAAAAATATTTTCCCCCCAAAGAAAGTATTATTTTCAACTCCTACTGCTAAATGTAAGTATTCTAATGCTAACAGCTAATGCTAATCATACTTCTGTTTATGCTAATTTCACTAATGATAACTTTACCAACAATAATGATGCTACTACTAACACTACCACTGCTAATGCAGTTCCACTAATAGTATTTTTATTCCTATTACTGGAACAGATAATGCGAACTTACTAATTTTTATAATGAATTTTTAAACAACTGTTTTTAATTTATTTATGATAATACCGGTAATACTTACGCTAATACTACTATAGCTGATGCTACTTTTGAAATGCTTAAAGGTAATTTCCATAATGTTAATACTCTAGCCTAAACACTAATTTTAATGCTAATTTTATAAATGCTAATTGTAATTCTAATTCTACTACTAATGGAATTCATGTGACAGATACTACCGGTACTTTTAATGGCGGTGGCCCTCTTTACATGAGAACCTCTGGAAACATTAGGGGGTTTTCAATGTTTATTGGGGGCAATAAACAAAAATAAAAGAGCGGGTTTACATGAAAACACTGTTGTTTCCGTGTCAATCGTGTTGCCAGAAAAGAAATTATGAACTATAGTACTGTCACTTTAAAATTATAGTATTTTGACCTAAACTGTCATACAGTATGTGCTGAGTAAGCTTGTTGTAAGTTGAGGTGTGTGTTGTGTTTGTTGAACATGCGCACAGAAAAGGAGGTAAATAAGGCATTTTAAAATTATCTGGCAACCCTGAGCCAGGCTCAGCTGCATTCATTGTGCTTGCAGCGTCTGCATGATCACAATTACTCCAAACTGATGAGTACACCAACATATCTTTGGACCCTGGATTTTATAAAACACTCTGCTCTCTGCCATTTTTTAAAACTGTAGTTAGTGCAGAAAAACTTTGGACTGCAGACGCATGCAGTGCGCATGTGCAACTTCACACTTGCGAAGCATTTCACACCTTCATGTGGGGTTCCCCAGAAAATTTCCATTCAAGACCTGGACTCAGAAACTTTCGGTTTCAGAAAGAACGAGGGAAGTTGTGTAAATGAATTAGTCAACTCAGCGGCGCTAATGCTACTTTAGTGAAACAAGCTCCGAGTCTGATGCAGGTAAACATCTGGTCATGTGACTGAAGTAGGGGAACAGAGATGAGGAACAACATGGCTCCACTTATCGGAGGAACAATAACGTTCTCTCTGAGACGGATCAGCTGAGGGACGATGCAACAGTCCGGTCATGGTCATAACGACACATCATCCTCAGGAATGACATCTGGTCTTTCCTCCTCCACCTCTTCACTTCCGTCAGTTGTTTATGTTTACATCGAGAGAGGTCAAGTTTTCAGCTTTTGAAATTCACAGATTTTACAGTTGAAATGTTTAAAGCAAATAAATCCTTTTAAATATTTTTAAAATGTGAAACCCTGGTACCAGTCACATGGATTTTACATATTTCAGTATGGTTTTTGTTGTTTATTCTTTTCATTCAACCTTTATTTAGACAGGTTAATCCCATTGAGCCCCGAGGACTGATTTACAAGAGAGACCTGATATTTATGACCCAAGTCTGGAACGGGGAACCTCTGGGCTACAGAACTCTTTGACCCGACTTGTTATATTTCAAACAAATGAGTAAAATATAAAAAAGCTCGGGAGGGAAATCGTTGATGATCAGTGGCATTCCTGGGATAAAATGGACAGAAATGCATTAATCCGAGCCAGGATTCAGGTCAGTGAACGCAACATGAGTGGTCAGTCAGAAAGGATGGGGTGACTGACAGGTGTCAATCATGGTGACTGAAGAAAAAGAAAAGTGGAAGTGAAAATAAAACCAAAGTTTTGGACAGAAACTGACAACAGGGAATGGATTATTTGCCGCCCACTCAGCAGTGGTGACTCCGCCCCCTCACCTGTGTGGATGCGCAGGTGTGTTTTGAGCTGAGTGGCCTGTCTGAAGGTCTTGGAGCAGAAGATGCAGGAGAAGGGCTTGAGGCCGCGGTGGATCTTCTCGTGGCGCCGCAGGCTGCTCATGTCTTTGAACATCTTGTCGCACTCGCTGCAGCTCAGCGGGACGTCGCTCATCTCTGACGGGTCATGCTCCCGAATCTCACCTTCCTCCTCCTCCTCCCCCTCCTCGTCTGCACCCGCCTCGCCGCTCTCCTCTTCATCGGTCATACTCTTCCTGCTGCGTCCCCTCCCCCTCCCTCGGCCCCTCCCACGGCCACGCCCTCTCCTGCCGTATCTGCTGCTCAACCGGGGTCTCTTGGTCAAGGTTTCACCATCACCATCTTGGTCGAGGGAGGGGCTCCAGTCTGCAGAGATGTCTTCAAAGTCCTTCAAGCTGGAGTCTGACTCCTCCTGCAAGACATCATCACTTGGAGGTGAAGAAGCAGCTCCTCTTCCTCGCCCTCGGCCCCTCCCCCTGGGCCTCCCTCTCCCCCTGTGGCTCGGAGTTTTAGGAGCGCCGTCGCTCGGCTCCACCTGATCGCCGCTGAAACTCTTCGGCTTCCTGCCCCTCTTCCTCCCCTGTCCTCGGCCCATGCTCCTCTGCGCGCTGGGGGTGTACTCTTCATCGCTCCTTTCTGCCAAATCTGAGTTCTCATCTCTGAGCTCAAACACCTGCTCTTTGCCTTCTTGCTCCTCTGCATGCCAGTCCCCGGTGAGGGAGGCGATGGAGAGGGGGAGCGGGGAGCTGGGGCTGCTGGGGCTTTGAGGGGAGGCCCCAGCCTCCTTGTCCAGCTCAGACTGGGACATTTCGCCGAGATCGGACCAGTGAGGAGTTTCCTCCAGGTACTTCGTGGCTTCTGACATTCCCAGGAAGACGGCGGCTCGACGCACAGCAGCCTGTCTGGTGCTGAAACCAGAAAAAACACTCAAATCTCCCAGAAAATACTTTAACTCAAAAACAACAGAAAGCTGCAGCATCCCTGAGTGTTTACCTGCTGAGGTTCATCTGACCCGTGTAGATGAACTCTAGAAGTTTCTCCAGGGAGTACCGGCTGACCTTCTCCGGGTCCAAGTTGGTAACTTCCTCCCCCTTCTCGGCCTGAGCGGAGAAATACTCGCTGAAGGCGGCTAGAATGTTGCGGTGAGCTCTGAACTCCACGTCTTTCACCATGATGGTGATGTCACACAGGAAGTCCATCTCCCGCTGCTGATGGAGGCGCTGCAGCAGCAGCCGGCCGTGGTTGGCGAGGTGAGCCATCGCTGCCGCTGGGAGGGGGGAGGAAACGTTAAAACAAGTGATGAAAAACAAAAACTCCTCCACTTTTTACACAAATGTTTATTTAACTTGTACGCTGTGACGGTGAAGTTGGGCTGAAGGAACTTTAGATTTAAAAAAGTCTCATTCTGAGAGAACAAACTCACTGTATATTACAACAATTAAACCTGCTGATATTTTATAACTTGTATGTAGAAGAAAAACATCAAATTAAAGCTTAAAGTTTATTTCACAGCTTTATTTAAACACATTACTGGTGACATTTTTACTGGGAAAGAAATCTAACAAATACAAGAAGTTACAAGAAAAAAAAGTTAAATATTTGCTATAATTTAGAGTCATAACTCTTAATGAAAAGGATAGTTTTAAATGTTAAATCTGGCTGAACTAATAAGAACATTAACAACACAACGGTTCCTAAAGTTAGGGCTGTTAATTATAAATTAAGAGTTAATACTTCTCTTTGTATTCTTCAACTTCCTACGGTGAATTTTGCTTTGAACTGGAGTGTCAAAACCAAAATAAGTCCATGAATTATTTAAAACTGCTTTATAAACGTCATTGGAAGAAAAACATTTATCATCTGAACTGAACGAGTGAAATTTATAAACGTATTAACCATATGCTAGTTGATTTTAAATGTACTAAATAATTGTAAATACAGTGTTTGTTTAGTAAGATTAAGGGCTTACTGCATTTATAATAAAGGTTGAATGGGAAAAAAAAAAGTTTCTCATTAATTTTAACTTAAAACTTTTATATTATTCTTTCAGCAGTTACAGCGTGTTTATTAAACGGTTAGAAAGGTTGAACTTTTTATGATTTCTTGATCATAATTCACATTTTTATGTAGTTTATGTTTAATTGAAGGTGTATTAATTCAGACTGAAATAATCTCATTTAAAGCCCATCTGGTGAATAAAAATCTCGTTTCTTAAAAAAAAAAAGATTATTAACAAGGGAAGAGCATTTATAATTAAAAGACAGTGCATTGTAGATAAACTGCACAATTAATTATGGAAATAGTGTTTTTGAAATGCACCAAAAAAGGGGGATGTATAGGGTTAAAAAATAAATAAAAACTTACTCTCAGATGCTGCTTTTAAAGTCTCAGTTCAATCTTTGTTGATTCCTTAAGAAACAGAAAAAAAACAACAATAATAAATCTCATTAACAGCTTAAATCGGAACATAAATGCGTGAAGTTATGTATAGAAGTCATTTTTAATAAACATTATGAGAAGGCAGGTATTTTTCTGCAGAATGAGGAAAGGTGAATTTTGGAAAATAAAAGCTCCCGCCTGCTTCCTGAACAGGCCCTCGGCTGCGGCTAATGCTAACACTGACGTCGTAGGTGAATTAAAATGATCTCCGCTGCTTCTTTTCTGTTCAGCGCAGCTTTGCGGAGGCTTTTCGTGTCGTTCGAGCCGCCTGGGAGACGTTTACCCCCCTCGGTGCGTCAGCGGGGCGGATTGTTTCTGAGGCCGAAGCTAACCGTTTACGTAGCGCTAAAAAGCGCGTAAAACCCTGAGCTCTTATTTCGAAGGTTCGACGGTTTCTACAGGCGGGGTCGACGTAAGCGACCGCAAACACCGCAGCGACGCAAGTTTCAGCGAGAAAAATGCGCAGAAATTTCATCGGCCGCGCCAGTTGCGTTGTGCAATTTGTTTTAAAACCAAGCGGAGAAATTAAAACAGAAAAGTACCTTCTAATATCCGCGATCTCCAACCATTATCCGCGTGACGTTGTAAGTCTCGCGAGAAGTCAGCGTTAATCAAAGAGCTCGCGTTGGTCAAGATGATAATCGGCTCGCCGCGACAACAATCGACAAAAAGGAGCGTTATCTTTCATCATTAGATTTTCAATAGGTTTTCTTAGCAATATTTACATTTTTAAAACCCTAATAGCATAACTTAATAAATTTAGGATTTATATTATTGTTTCTGGCAGCACGGTGGCGCAACTGGTAGAGCTGCTGCCTCTCAGCGAGCAGGTCCCTGGTTCAAACCCTGGTCCAGGGGCCTTTCTGGGTGGAGTTTGCATGTTCTCTCCGTGCATGCGTGGGTTTTCTCCGAGTACTCCGGTTTCCTCCCACAGTCCAAAAACATGCATGTTAGACTGATTGGTAACTCTAAATTGTCCCTAGGTGTGAGTGAGAGAGTGAATGGTTGTTTGTCTCCATGTGTCCCTGTGATGGACTTGCGACCCGTCCAGGGTGTACCCCGCCCCTCGCACAGTGATTGCTGGACATGGGCACCAGCGACCCCCGTGACCCAAAATGGAATAAGCGGGTAAAGAAAATGGATGGATGGATGGATTATTGTTTCTAGTTCAATTGTGATTGTAACAAATTGAAATGGCTGATCATCTTTTGAGTATGCATTGCAGTTATTCGGATTAAGGCCTCATTTTACACTCATCTGATGCTGGATTACATAAACACGCACATTTTAAATAATAATTAGTAAGTAGCGATATTTTTTTGTTTAATTTTGTCAACATGTACAGTGGTTAAAATTTTCATTCAACCTTTATTTAGACAGGTAAATCCCATTGAGCCTCGAGGACTCATTTACAAGAGAGACCTGATTTCAACAAAGAATGATGACAACAATGGACAACAGCAACAACAATAAACAGTTATAAAAAAAAATCATACAATTTTATTTATTTATTTTTTAACAAATAGGATGGCTTAAAAAAGTAACAAAAAACAGCTAAAAAACAGGCAAATGTAGAAAACTAAAAACAGGAACATGTCTGCATCGGTCCCTGCCAGGAGTCCAACAGATTCTTAAAGCCACTTAGAGAGGTCAAGGTCGAGAGCTTCAAATTATTAAACCAATCAATAGTGAAACCTGAAACATCCCATAATAATACCCGTTATTAAACCACTGACACATCTCTGATCTCAGCCATGATCCATATCCTTATTAAACTTAATTTCATTTAAACAAAAGCTCCTAAATGTGCATTAAAAGTGGATTTAAACCCCAAATTTAATAATATTTAAAGAACCAAAGCACATAATTGTTTTTAAATTATTTTGTAAGAGTATATCATCTGTTTTTCTGCAGAATAAAAAACTCAAATCCTCTGTGAAAACTTTTTTTTTTTTAACAGAACCCTCGTCTTTGCCAGAAGCAGTCGGAGGAAATTTAACACCTGAAGACAGGTGGACACCTCCCTGAACTCATGCAGGAGAGGTTTTATTCCTGCCAGCAGGACCTGCAGCGTTTAGACACATCCAGCATGACGGGAATGTTCATCTGATTTAACATCAGCCGGTACACACACACACACACACACACACACACACACACACACACAAACACTTATCTCCTCCATCACCGGAGACAAAATGTCTAAAACAGTGAAGTGAAAGGTGAGAGAAACTTTTCAAAGATAAGCTGGAGGAGAGACAGTTTCACTATTTTTTATATTAAAAAAACAAGTTATTTAAAAAAAAATCAAGATTAAGGATTACAGAAATGTAAGCAGGAGCTGTGTCCACATCATCAGACTCCTGCAGGGCTCCATGCATTGCTGTCCTTTGTCTCAGATCCTGCTTGTGGCCTTCATGGATCTCAAGGCTCAGGCCAGGAAGAAAGAGCTCCTCTGAGTCTGAGGTCATATTTCAGGTGGACTTGTTCCAGACCCCAAGTCCAAACACCTTGGGGTCCCCAAGGAGGAGCTGGAGAGTCTCTGGGGAGAGGGAGATGTGGGTTTGGGTCCTGGACCTGACCACATAGGAGCAGTAGAAGATGGAGAAAATGAAGCGATGCCTTTGATTTTAAGGAAGATTTTATATTTTCACAAATGATAAAAACAGTCAATGACTTAAATAATGAACATTCATTCATTCAGCCTTTATTTATTGGGTCCCTCAGGGACTCATTTACAAGCGAGACCTGAATTTAACAAAGAGTCATGACAACAGTGAACAACAAAGACAATAAGGATTCGTACAAATTGAGATTTTTTTTTTTTTTTTTTTTTTTAAACTTTATTTATCAATTGTCACAGCATATTCTTTACAGCATTTAAGTTTTATACAGTGCTGCCCATTTTAACATATAAAACCCTTACATAAAACAAACACACAACAAAACAAAATAAAACACACAGAAAAAAAAAAAAAAAAAAATATATATATATACACATATATATATATATATATATATACATATATATACAAATGAAAATACAAAAATCTGTTCACTTTACAGCTAACCAAAAGTATCAGTAATTTAGTTACGATGGGGTAATCATCCTAAATGTTTCCATGTATTGTAAGAAAGGCTGCCATGCCTTGACAAACTTAGCAGTTGAACCTGCCAATGTACATCTCATCTTTTCTAAATTTAAAAACCTCATGAGCTCTACAAGCCACTGCTCATGTGTAGGAGGGGCCTCCTGTTTCCACCTCAGAAGTACCAAACGTCTCGCAATCAACGTAGCAAAAGCTACTGTATTTGAATTATTCTTGGAAAGTAAAGTATTTGGAGGTATAACTCCAAAAATTGCAGTTAAAGCAGGAGAGCAAAATTTAACATTGTATATTTCTGAGAGTGTATTGAATATAGATGTCCAATAGGTATTAAGATGTGAACACGCCCAGAAAGTGTGAAAAAGGGAACCAACGTCTGACCTGCATCGGTTACACAAGGGATCCGTCCCTGGACAAAACTTAGCTAGCTTTTCTTTAGAGATATGCAACCGGTGCAGGACTTTGAACTGAAGGAGCCCGTGCCTAGCGCATATAGAAGAGGAGTGTACCCTGTGGAGAATAGCCTGCCAGAGCTCATCCGTTAATGTAATTGTAAGATCTTTCTCCCAATGTGATTTAATAATGGAGAGAGAAGGAGATTGTAGATCTAGCAGTATAGTATAAATCTCTTTAATTACCCCCCTTTTATGAACATTTATATCTGTGATTTTATCCAGAGTCGTTTCCTCAGGTAATATAGGAAATGAGGGATATCCATTCTTCACAAAATGCCGCAGTTGCAAATAGCGGAAAAAATGTGTACGCGGGATATTAAACTGTTCTATGAGTTGTGTAAATGATGCAAATATCCCATCAATGAAGAGGTGTTTTACTTTACTTAATCCATTTTTTTTCCAAATTTTAAAGGCAGAATCAGACAAAGAAGCTGGGAACATATGATTTGAGCAGATGGGAGTTTTAATTGACATAAGATGTAGCCCAAATCTTTTCCTACACTGTACCCAGATCCTCAAGGAGTTATATAACACAGGATTGCATTTATAGGTAGATATTTCTAAAGGGAGAGCGGAGGTCATCAAGGCAGGTAGGCTAGTCTGGCCACAATTAGACGACTCAATTTGAACCCAAGAAGGGGTTTCTGTAGAAAAGTCACTAATCCAATATAGCATATTTCGTATATTAGCTGCCCAGTAATAAGACTGGAAATTTGGCAAAGCCAATCCACCCATAGGTCGAGGTCTCTGCATAAAATCTTTACGTATCCTGGGGGGCTTACCATTCCAAATACAAGTAGAAATAAGTTTATCCAGTGTCATAAAGTATTTCTTTGGGATATAACACGGAATGCATTGGAATAAATAAAGGAACTTGGGCAATATGTTCATTTTTATAGAATTGACACGGCCTATTAATGATAGTGGCAAATTATTCCACCTTTGAAGATCTAATTTAGTCTTTTCAAGAAGTGGTATAAAGTTCTTTTTAAAGAGATCTTTATATTTGCGAGTAACTTTGACCCCCAGGTAAGTCACGTAGTTTGATTTGACTTTAAAAGGAAAGTTCATAAATGAGATCTTCCTGGCTTTAGAATTTATACTAAGTAATTCACTTTTATGCAAATTTAATTTGTAACCCGAAATAGTGCCGAATTGTTTAAATATAGCAAGAGCATGGGGAAGAGAGCACAAAGGGTCGGAGATATATAGCAGGAGGTCATCAGCATATAAAGATATCTTGTGCTCCTGATCAGCTCTGCAGATACCCTTAACATTATTCTCTGCTCGCAACTTAATTGCCAACGGTTCAATTGCTAACGCAAATAAAAGAGGGGACAGAGGACACCCCTGTCTTGTCCCGCGGTGGAGTGGGAAGTAACAGGAATATAATGAATTTGTTCGAACACATGCCATAGGCGAGGAGTAAAGTACCTGAACCCAAGAAATGAATTTAGGGCCAAATCCAAATTTATTTAATATGTAAAACAGATAGTCCCACTCCACCCGGTCAAAAGCCTTCTCAGCATCCAGTGATAAGGCGACTTCAGGGGCTGTAGTTGACTCCGTGTGTAATATGTTAAAAAATCTACGCAAGTTAAAAAAGCCATGCCTTCCCTTTACAAATCCTGTTTGATCAGAGGAAATAATATGAGGTAAACATCGTTCTAGTCTGAGAGCTAGGATTTTAGATAATATTTTTAAATCCACATTTAACAGCGAAATTGGACGATATGATGAACATTCAAGTGGATCCTTATTTGGCTTCAATAACAAAGAAATAGTAGCTTGACGAAGCGTTGGGGGAAGACACTGCCAGTTAAATGACTCAATAAACATATCTCGTAACAATGGAGACAAACTATCTTTAAAGGTCTTGAAAAATTCAACTGGGTAGCCATCTGGTCCCGGGGACTTTGCATTCTGCATTGAGTTAATTGCCAATTTAATTTCTTCTGCAGTGATCTGTTCTTCTAATTGATCCCTAAATGTAGAATCTAAAGTTGGAATTT